TTTAATCTACTACTTAGTAATATTCAGCTAAGTGCATTCAGCTAGGTTAAGTGAAGTTATGCAAACTAAATAGTACCTACTTTAAATTCAAATTAGATTTAAATTTTCACATAGTAAAATAATTTTAATATTAATACAGTAAAAAGTCGTTAATCCGGACACCCATAATCCCGAATGATTTATAATCCGGACCTCAAAGCTACAAACTTTCTGCGCATGTATCAGCACATAATGCATTGACGCATTCGCATAATACCTTTGCAATTGCGCATAATACGTTTACGCATGCACGTTTAATGTATAAAGGACAGTATAAGCTAAGCTAAAATTATCTAATTATCTATTTCAGTTAATGTTGCAGATTGCGTTGTACCTTAATCTTCGAATTGGATCCGGTTTATTATTTTTTGCAGACTGTTAGAGCAATCTTATAAAAGTAAGCTTGAACTTTCGCTTCTGTCAAATAGAATTTCTGATGCTGGAGCTACCAAAGGATCTGCAAAGCAAAAGTATGTTACGATGACCATCAAACAAAAAGTGGAATTGCTGCAAAAAATGGATAAAGGCGTATCTTTTGTTTCTCTAACCATTCCGAAATCTGTTTATCAATTTCACGCTACTCTGCCGGGGGGGAGGGGACATCGCGACGCGCAGTGAAATGGAAGTTGATCTGTCAGCACTATCCTTATCTTCAGGGCAGATGTTTTTATTTTATTTGGCTTATAATTCCTTACTAAATGTAGTATTTCTTCTCGATTTATTCCGTCTTTGATATGTTTTAAATCAAATTCCTCATCATTATAATTCGCTTCCAATAGTGAAAAAAGTGACACAGAGGTTATTGAAAACGAAAAAATTTCGATTGACAAATTAGTTTGTATTCTCGACACAGCAATTATAGGACTTAAACAGCGGAACTTTGTAACCCGAGAAGAAATTATGTCTGTTTATAGAGTTAAAGAGAAAGTATTATCATATAAAACGAAGCAACTTACATTAAAAGAAATGTTTAATAAAGTAAACAAATAAATATAACCCTTTTTTTTTTTTTTTTTTTTTTTTTTAAATTTTGATACCCTTTTAGATCATATATGTTCTTTATTTCATAAACTACATTTTCATATTTTTAATTTCATAATTTCTGCATGCCATCTTACCAGATTTAAACTGATGATCTATATTCCGGAAAAATCGATAATCCGGAATCGCTGAAGTCCTGATGAGTCCGGATTAAAGATTTTTGACTGTAATAATAATTTAATAACATAAATTTATTCATAATAAAATGTACTCGTGGGCTGTACATAGCCCGCGGGCTTCCAATTGGACATCCTTGGTCTAGACTGTCTCATCATGCAAACTAATATTTGATATGACTTGAGCCTGTGATGGACAATGCACATCAACTGCACTCTGAAGATATTCTTTTACAAATTCTCCATCAGCAAAGGGTATTCCACGCTTAGAAATTTTTTCTGCTATCCTGTAACTAAAGAGGTTATCACATATGGCTACAGTCCCTGCTAGACGGGACTTTTTTAAGAAACGAGATTCTTGTAGCTTTGGTTTAAGCGGAGAATTCCCAGAAAAAGAGCCCCGCCTGAAGCGAAGTCCCGCCTACCTACGGAAACGAAATGGTTTGAAAAAATCCCATGTAGTTGCAACTACATGGGATTTTTTCAAACCACACCAAAAATGTCTCAGCTGGACCTCTGTCCCGGGTAAAGACGACCAATCGGACAAAAGTTCTGCTTCTGAAGCATCACGTCATCTCAGTCTGAGCGATAACCGATTACTGTTTAGCGTTCAAGTCTTTGTAATAAGTGATAATGGTAATATAGCTATGCGGGTTTTATAGAATTGTGTGGGTTCTGAGAATTATCCTTTTCGACATCAAGTCCCGCATAGCCGAAACATAATGTGATTGGGACCGTGTGCAGAGCTGTAGCTAGGGTTTTCAGCGCCTAGGGACCACAGAAGATTTCGCACTCGCTACTGCTTGCCAAGGATGGAAAACATTTAATTCTAAAATGTCGTAACATCAGTTTGGCGCCCCTTGGATTCTGCGCCCGGGTACAGATGCCTCCCCTTGCCCCCTCTAGCTACGCCATGGAGGTAGGAAAGGAAGGAGGGGCCAGTCGGCACTAGAAGTGAAGCACTACTTTGAAGCTTGGGTCACCAGATGGGGTGTTCTTTGTTTACATTCAGAAGCTCACTTGACACGATTCTGATAGTATTTCGACACACGACAGTTCCATACAAATCGAAAAAGGGACACTTTCGCCTGAAAGAAACATTCATAGTGTGATGGATAATAGCAATTTGTATAGTTTAGTGACATTTACGCAAAAATCACATCTTGGTTATTTTTCGATAACTAACAACAGCGCGATTTTGATTATGAATTTGTTTTATAAAATTCTAAGCTGTTGAACTACAAAAATATAAATTTTAAGAAAAAGAAAAATGTTATGCTTAAAGAATGAAAAATACCTTACGGTACATTTAAAATTGTATACATCTTTCGATACCCTTGGTAGAGTTCGCTACTTTTATTTTCTAAACGCCAAAAAGTTTTAAATAAAACACATTTTTTTCACATCCATATATTATTGTTGCATATTATTGCAAAAAGCATGTATCTGCCTTTGACAAAATACATAAATATTCATTAAATTATTTATAATTGTATTTGAAATGAAGAATTTATTCACTTATAAACAATTGTGAAAGTACTGTGAAGAAATCTAATTATTAAATGTATCTAATTTATAATGATTATAAATGTTACCTAAATATATAATAAACTTAATATTGAATTGTAAACATAAACTGAAATCCTGTTGACAAATACGTTATAAAACTATTTAAGCAAGAATTGTTCGGATTGGAAAGCAATCTGTTAAAAGGTATTGTAAAGCAAATGCTATGAGATGCGCACTTAAGAAAGTAATAAAGAGTTTTGGAATATGTATTGTTGAAATGAAGGGTAAAAAAAATCTGATAAGTATAATTAAAAGAATTATTCCCCTTACATTTTGTAATAACTCAGTAACAAGTTTTAAATAAAACTTTAAAAAAAAAAAAAAAACTTATTTTATTCCCTTTCAGAAATGTTCAGAGAAAGTCAAGTACTATTTAAAGTATTTCACTAATTCCTAATAATTCTCTAATTTAAAATGAACTGAATAGAGCATTAATTATAAATTGACTTACATTTTTCGATTTAAAAGATGCTTCAGAAGCCAAAAAATCATGTCATATTTAAGAAAGTATTTTAGGAAGAAGCTCTATAAATAGAAAAGAAATAATGCATAATTTTAATATTAATAATACAATAAAAATTGATCTCAATTTTTGTACCTTAACCGAATAAAACCGAATTAATCGAATTTTTTTTCTAATGTAATTAACGAAAACTTGTGAGAATATTTCATTCAAATTAAACCATTCTGAGAAAACTGTCCTGTGAAAAGTATAGCATTTAATTCCGTTCAGAATGAAATGTTGTTTAAAAATATGTCGTTTTCATATACTTAGGACTCTGAAGTGTTATAGAAAAAGAAAATATATACATTTATATATATATTTACGACGTAATTACAAAATATTTACATCCGAACGCGACAAATCCCATTGAACTCAATGGTAAATGACCCAATGTTTTGGTCACCACGTAGGGATCGTTGGCGCTTCAGAGCAGGGTACGGGAGAAACTTGTTTAGGGCAACTTCATCTTACTTCCTACCTCCATGAGCTACGCCCCTGACCATGTGTCCTGGTGTAGTGAAGAAAGACTGCCGAAAATTTAGTTTTGATTTTAATTCTCTCACCTTATCACTCCAAAAATGACCTTCTAGTGCAGAATATTTCTCACTGTGCTTAGTATCATAATGTCTCTTAATGTTGCATTCCTTCATCACAGCTACACTGTCATTGCAAAAAAGGTAAACTGTTTTATCCTTATGTACAACAAAAAAATAAAGATCTGACCACTTTTCTTGAAAAAATCACACTTTTGCTTCAACTTTTCTTCTTTTGTTATCATGACTTGCCATTGTGTACTCATTCAAAGACCATAAACGATTCTGAATTTTAGAATGTGGAATGAGCATCAGTAACCTAGCTCAAAATCAACTATAGAAAATCTGCTCATCACCAAATCAAACAGGATGTTTATGAACACCATTGCCTTTGACAACTAATCACAACATTAGGAGAAATAGAATTCTGTTAATTTATTCTCCCTCCCCTCTATAGCTGTGTCACGCTCAAACTCACCTCACAAAGTATTGACATCTGTTGCAAACCTGTTAGAGATAAGAATCTACCCTTTTTACGGTATTGAGATTTTATGCATAGTCAAATTTTTTTATTTTTAAAATTACATAAGTGAAGTTTTTGAAAAATTCGTCATTTTCAGAAAATTTTATCTCAAGTAACATCAGGTATGTCAATAAAATGTTTTAAGTATGAAGAATAAGAGGAAAAAAGTTTCTCCCACCCCCACAAAAAGCTGATTAGGCATTTCTTGAAATAAAAATTTCTTAAAATTCTTCAATTTTTCTTCAAATTCAAATGTGGGACCACTAAAATGCCTTCAGTGGGCCACTCATGGCCGACGGCCACGGGTTGAAGACCCGAGTTCGAACCCCGGCAATGGCACTGCTAATTTTTCACATCTCCAGCATCAGAAAAACCCAATGACTCTACATGGTGAATAGTTTTTTCCTTGATTTTTTAAAAATATTGTATCAGTTTGAAGCTGTTACAAAATTGAACTAGTGACCAGAAAATGAAGAGCAATGACATAGTGTGCATGTTAAAAACAAACAGTGTCTTTGTGAATGTTAAAATACTATGTTTAGCATTTGTAAGATTTTATGTCTCATCATTTCAGTTTTCCATTTAGTTGCATATTTCAAAATGTTTCCAGATTTTTATATTTTAATATTGTTAAATTTATAAAAATAATTTGTATTTTTATCTTTTTGTTTCAGGCATTACTTGATGGTCAACTTTTTGAAATAAAGCATTTATTAATTTTAAGAGAGCAGATAGCACCATTTCAGATTGATTTTGCTATTAAAGAGACAACTTTGGATTTTAGTAAAGTCAAAGGTTTGAATAGAACTTTGATCATTTAAGCTTAGTTTATGGTTGATGTTTGATTTTAGTTTCAGACATATTTTTTTACTAATTCTTGTACAATTTTATGCAGTTGCTGCTTATGGGTTATTGCAAAATAGGACGCATTTGCTTTCACTGAATTCGAGTAATGCAATACTGGAGTTCTTACTTCAGGTTTGTAGATCTTTTGGTGACTTCATTAAATGCAAATATCTGTATGGAACCCCAATCAGAAAATAAGGGGGCACTGAAAAATAAATTAAACAATGTCTCTTCATTATATAAAAGTCCATATTGTAATGAATTAAATGAATTTCTAACATGATTCCATAAGTTATGAGGTAATTCAAAGGAATTGTGAAGTGTAATCTGACCTGTTTGTTTTTCCTTGCTCTGGTTTAATTTGAAAAAATCCACTGTTAGGAGTGTTGCAAATTGGGTTGTTGCAAATGAAATGATGATGGAATGACATCAGGTTTCTGCTGGCTGTGGTAGAAAGCAAGCACTGAAGCCAGGGGTTAATTTCTAAAATTAGAAGTACTGGAGCCCTGTGAAGAACCATCAGGAGAGGCAAACAAAAGTAAAATAAGTAAATTAATAATAAAATCATGATTAAATGAAATATAAAGAGATAATTAAAATACCAGACCTACTCTTATTTGGATACCAACTGGAACTGAAATTTAATTCAAAAGCTAAGAAATAGCAGTACTGGCAATGTTTCATTGGATGATAGAAATAGGATCATTCTTTTTCTACCACAAAAATGAAAAAATATAAAATAGATAAAGCATTTCTAATGAGAATAGAGAAAGTATCGGATTTTAACGAAAGTTTCAAATATCATCTGCACAAACAGTTTATGTTGGCGTGTTTAATCATATTTTTTCAAACAATTTTTGGCATATTAAAGAAAGAGACTTGCTTTAGAACACTGTATTGTGAAATTTGTAAAAAAATTATCATTGTCATTATGTATAAGGTGTTTGAAATGGAACTATCACGTTACCACATTACAACCATCATTTAGATCCAGTTCTGTTGCAGAAAGTCAGCTACAGAATGTCACCAAATCATGTGTATAGCTTTAGGTACTAATATTGTATCATATGACACTGTGAAAGCTTGATACCCAAAGTTCAAAAACAAAGACTATGACATTCAATATGCAGAGCGCTGTGGCTAGCCTACTGATGTTGATGACAGCCACCTGCAAGAACTTGTAGAAGATCAGTATGCATGCTAAGGAGATAGGCGTTAGTGTCATGTCCATTAGTTGTGCTACGCGTAGCATACACTTGATGTATGCTACATAAACTTGATATACACTTGATGATATAAGTTCAATCACTGGGTGCCGCATGTGGTGACTCAAACAGATAAGGACAGACATGTTTGGGCCTGCACTAATCTGCTCGAATATCAACGTAAGGATAAAATTTTGGACTGGATCATCAGTTGCGATAAAAAGTGGATTTACTTCAACAACACAGGCTGAAAAGGGGGTTGCTGCGCACCTGGTGAGCTCATCCTCAGCATCGCAAAGCATAATTTGACTAACAAAAAGATCATGCTTTGTATCTTGTGGGATTGCCGTCTTATTATCCACAAAGAACATCTGGAAAAAGTTAAAACCCTTGACAGTAAGGTGTACAGTGAGATGCTAGTCTGTGTTCGCTGCCATCAAGCCGAGTTCCAGCACAAAAAAGTAACGTTACATCAAGATAATGCAAGACTACATATGTCTGCATTCACCAGGTGGACTCTGCATGGACTCAAATGGGATCTTTTCCCACACCCATATAGCCCTGACATCGCTCCTTCAGACTTCTAATCTTTTTTCACACCTGTACCTATATTCTGATGGTGCTATCTTCCATTCTGCACAGAACGTTCGAAATGAGGTTGATGTGTGTTTGGATTCATGGCCACCAAGTTTCTGGGCCAAGGGCTTTGTAAAACTATCAAAACGTTGCCAGAAGATTATAGATTTGGTTGATGATTACTACCCACACTAAAGTATAGCTTTCATGTTTTTTTTTTTTTTTTTTTTTTCCTCATTTTATTAGGAACGTTTTGAAACAAAAAGAGTTGAATCCAACACATACTGATCCCAATCTACTGCCAAAATAATTCTAGCTGTTGACAGCAAAAAATTGCCTCTGAATCTGAGTGTTGATCTGTTAGCTGAGAATAAACAGAAGACTCTGTACAAGTGACCATTTGCATTCCTCATATTTGGTTACATTGTTCCAAAAGATCTGCAGGTGATCAATGAGAAGTCAGTAGTGATTGTGTCTAAGCTATTTATCTAAGTATTTTATTATTGTAAATTGAATCCCATTCAGAAACATAAACAACAGTTATCCTGTCCTATTGTACTCTAACTCGCAATTAACTAAAATCCCCAATACTAAAATAAGGAATTCAAAGGCAACCACTATGATCATTTCTAATACTTTTCAGGATAAAAAAAATTTATCCAATCCCAAATAAGGTTTCATGAGTTTATTGTACTTCCTAGAACATAACATTTTGATATGTGGATTTTTCTTTCTTTATAAACCTCAAACTTCTCCCAGTTTTAAAGCTTACATATTACTAAAACAAAACTTTTTGAGATCAAAATAATTTTTTACTGAAACTGTGATTCAGGTTCATAAAAAAAAAGGTAAGGGCTTCATTGCACTCCAATTAGAGTTGGGATTTATCTAAAAAATTTAGAAGTACTGGAGCCAGGCTTCAGTGGGCTCTGGTGCAATTTAAGCTCTGACTGAAGCTACAAAAATATTTCCACATGTAATACAAATGTAAAATTTGTGTCATTCAATGAACATTGATGGTAAACATCATATCAATTATCTAACTCCTCCTATATCGTTTTGAGCTTAAACTAGGAAATTATGTAGCAACTGCAGCAGAAACATCAATAAAACATTTAATGGAAGATAATTAATCAGACATTCACTTTCTGTTCGTTTACCAAATTTGTAGATTTATAGCTACAAAATGAACATTGTAACTGTCATCCATCTTTCATTGGTTCAAATGATTTACAGAGATTTAATGGAATCAAATCCATGATAGACTGCCCTTACGTTAAATGTAAATTTTCAACTGTTTCACAGTACTTGGCAGTATTAGAAAAGTGGAGGAAACCCTTTATGTGGTACTTGAACTCACTAATGAAAATAAAACACAACATTTGAAAGTGTACTTTTATGTCTTAAAAGAAGAAAATTCTTACATTGAATTATGACTGTGGATGAGATATAGATATTTTAAGATGGTTGCAGACTTTAATTGCAGTGGTTAGAAGTGAAAGATGCTCCAGGAAGAACTTCAAAGGCACCTTTCCATCCAAAGGAAATGTTGTTTACTGTATTTCAGTAGTCTGCAGGTATTATTCACCACTAATTTCTTTTACGAGGTGACACGAGTAGTGCAATTCCGTATTCTACAGCTGGGCAGTAATTGCAGGACTAAGTGTGCACAACTAACCAGAACTTTTGAATACATGTTTGAATACATGGAGTCCTATGACCTCAGGATAATGCACACCCACATGTAGCAATGTCAACCATACTGATAACCAACAATTAAAAATATGAAATTGTGTCTCATCTTCTATATTTTCCTGACATTTTCCCCCATAGACTACCACTTTTCCTAGCACCTAAGCCATTTTTTTTTTCCACCCCTAGAAATGCATTGATGCATTAAAAAAATTACCTCTGAATTCGAGGGTTGATCTGTTAGTTGAAAATAAACTGGTGATTCTGTACAAGTGACCATTTGCATCCCCCATATTTAGTTATATTGTTCTAAAAGATCTGCAGGTGTTCCTTTCAATGAGAAGCCAGTGGTGATTGTGTCTAAGCTGTTTATTTAAGTATTTCACAGTTGTAAATTGGAACCCATTCAGGAGCATAAACATAATGGCTTCCCACATGTTGGTTGTAATGCATTAGTTTTGCTTTGATTTAACAGGTATTCTGCTTCATTGTCCTCATATTCAGTCAATCATTTCAATTTCAACAACCTAATATTTATCTTTTTTTTTTTTCAATCAAACCATGCATTTAAAATACTTTTTAAACAAATTCTGCATTTAGTTTGACTTAGTGACTAGATTTTCTTGCTGTATAACACAAATTTTTTAAAAAATTCAGTGCAGCTTTTTTTAATGTATGAAAAAATGTATAGTAATATTTCTGCATAGTGTATAAGTTAGCAACAAGTCCACCTGCAGCTGAGTGATAAAAACCACTCAATATTGTCAGTTTCACCAAGGTTCAAATACTAACAAATGATCTGATTGCATGGAGTTTTTGTGGCCATGTGTAATGTGAATATGAGCCACTTTTCCTGAAAAAGTTCTATATGAAGTCATCCTTTCTATTTGGTAGATAACTCTTAAGTGCTTTGTCATAATCTAAGTAATCCGGAACCTAATTCTAAATAACTTTCTGTATCTTCAGTACTTTAAGAAGATATTGAGGAAAATATATTATAAGCTTTCATTTTGCTGATGTTAGACTATGTACAATTATGTTCTCAAAGAACATAAATCATCAGAATGTTTAAAACCAAGATGGTTCTGAAGTGTGTATATGTTTATATATATATATATATATATATAAGATATATATACAGGGGTTGTAAATTAAATAGTGGCAACTTAACCTTGAAACTCGCAGAAGGGCAGGCATGCGCAAATAGGATATGGGAGCGGTGAGGTGGCGCTGTTGTCGATGTGTAGAGTGCAAAAAAACAGTCGATCTGCTTAGAAGGGTAGTTGTTGTGTGGCGTTAAAGTGAGGAGTTTCGTTTCCATTGCTCTAAAGCATGTTTTCAAAAGGTGATCAGCGGTCGTGGCTTAAAATCGAGGTTGCCCGTGGCAAAAATGCAACAGAATGCTATCGAGGATTAGTGGAAGCCTGTGGCACAAATGCTTTACCGTATAGGACAGTAGCACGATGGGTTCAAGCATTTCGTTCGGGTCGGAATGAGACTGCGGATTTGCAACGCACAGGTCGGCCCTCCATTCCTCAAGAGCAGATTGACATCCTGAGCGGTCTCCTTACCATAGACCGCCGATGGACTGTCCGAGAATTATCCTTAGAGGTTGGTCTGAGTCATCAAACGGTGTGGCGCATAATGAAGAAATCTCTC